GCTAAGGGCAGAAACTTCTGCGGCTGCGAAAATTTCCCCGAGCGCAAACAGAAAGATCACCATCATACATGGCTCCATTTCTAACTTTTTCTTGGTAATGGCAGGTAGACTAAATTTGCAAATCAAATGATGTGTCATCAATAAAGAATAAACACGTTAATCTTAAGTAATAATCATATCATCAAATTTCATACGTCATTTAGTTTACAAAATTTTGTCTAGAAATTTAGTCTTCCTTGCATTACCCTTGGCCGTTTGTATGTTTTCTAGCCACAACATTTTTAGGTAGCTAGTCTGAACCAAGTGGATTTATCTTTTGTTATATAATCTCCCTATATATATATATATATATATATATATATATATATATATATATATATTGAGAAACGTGACATTTGTTTGTATTTCTTGTATCATTTTATTTTCTTAAGCATAACATAATATAGTGTATTCGTATTTTCATAAGAGGTATTAGCCGATTTTCTCTAAAGTTGTAAGGGCTGCCAATCTCTTCATTGGACTTTAATTTTAGGGCTAGTTTGAAGGTGCTGTGCTGTGAAAATAATGCGTTGTTTTCAGAAGCAGGGTAGAGCTCTGCTTCAACTTTCTATAGCAAACTTGCAGTAAACCCTAATCCATGAAGCTACAAATTCTGTCACAGTAAACGTCCCTAGTGTACCAAGACTATATCATGGAGACTAACCTGCACTCGAAGACATTCATATGCAGCAGCAAGTTCGTCTTCTCTCCTCTTGTACTAACAGCAAGGTTTTCCAGACAACAATGGGGCAAGCACTCTAAATGGAAAACCAGTATATATGTACCGGGAAGAGGGACCAACTTCTTTCTATGTTTTGGTAACTGCCTCCTCTCATTAGAAGGTAGTGGCCTTCAATTTGTCACCAAGCTAGCTGCTCCCTTAATTACAAACTAGCATATGCCTACACACTTTGTTTGTATGAACACTTTTTTGTTTTTGTTTTTAAAATGGAAAGAAGGGAGGGAAAGACAAACATGGGTGGGAGTGAGAGTGGGAGGTTTTTGTTTTTGTTTTTTATTTATTTTTAATATTAATATATCTTAACATCACGTGTAAGCAATGACTAAAATACCGATAATATTGGCGAAATATCGCCGATATTATCGTTTTTCAGAGAAACCGATATTTTCACACGTATCCCTCTAATTATCGTCAAAATATCGCGCTATTATTGATAATATCGATAATATCGCGATATATTCGATATTATCGAAACAATCGTTGTGGCTCCGTCGTCGAAAAAGCAGCCGAGGCTGCGTCATCGCAACTACCCAGATCTCTCTCTGCAATCCAGGCTCAGACCCAAGATCTGCGCCTCCGTCGTCGAAAATGAAAAGTCCAGTGTTCTAAAACTTGCTGCAAATCCCAAACTTGCTGCAATTTTCACAATGGGCTGCAGAAATCCGCAGAGACGAGCTGCAGAAATTCGTACGAGATCGAAAGTTGTAGATCTGTGAAGATGAGGGAATTTTTGCAGAGACGATCTGCAGCTCGTCTGTGAAGATCTATGAAGTTGTAGAAATTCGCAGAGACGATTTGTGAAGATGAGGGAATTTTTAACTGTGAAGATGAGGGAAGAGAGTAGAGTGCGAAGAGAACCATGGGATGTGATTAAAACGGGTGATGTGATGAAAACCACCCAAGGTAGTTTTAATTATGAAAGGCCTAATCGGATAAATGGTCCCCGTGGTCATAAGGTATTCGAATGATAGCCCCTTGTGGTAAAAAAATTCAGATTTAAACCCCTGTGGTCACAGTCTGTTAGGATTTAAAGCCATGTGGTCTAAGTCTGTTAGGATTTATGCCCTTGTCATTCCTCCATTAGGTTTAGGTTGGCAAAATTGGATAAATGGTCCCCGTGGTCATAAGGTATTCGGAAGATAGTCCCTGTGGTAAAAAAAAATCAGATTTAAACCCCTGTGGTCTAAGTTTGTTAGGATTTATGCCCGAAACTAGAGGTTCTGTCATTTCTCCGCTAAGCTTACAAGTGGAGCAGAGTTTCTTTGAGGAGACGTGACATAACGAGTTGGAACTAATAAATCACATAATTCATTAAAATTCAAGATCTAATAAATCAAATAATTCAAAATGCCTTTATAAAATTAACGACCTTTTGACTCCCGAATATCCAACCGATTAATTAATTCTTTACTAGCCTCTTGCCACACGCATATGGGTGTGGCAATTGACATTTTTATATATCTTTTATTTAAATAATTAATTTACATATTTTTTAAAAAATCATTTTAAAAAATGAATTAAAAACGTGAAACCACCCACTAATGTTGGAGGTTTTGTTTTTTTGTTTTTTTTTCTATAATTTTAAATATTAAATTCATTCAAAATAAAAATATGGTTAAATACTTTAGCTTCTTTTGGTTCAATTGTAATTTATGAAATTCTTAAAGGACAATTTATGGAATTTTGAATGTTTCACCATTTTAGGGTGCTCACTTTATATATATAGATATATATCTTTTATTTAAATAATTAATTTACATATTTTTTTTAAAATTATTTAAAAAAAAAAGAAGAAATGAATTAAAAATGATTTAAATCCGAATTTTTTCTACCACATGGGCTATCTTCCAAATTCCTTATGACCACAGGGACCATTTATCCGATTTGGTCAACCTAAACCTAATGGAGGAATAACAGAAGGGCATAAATCCTAACAAACTTAGACCACAGGGGTTTAAATCCTAACAGACTGTGACCACATGGGTTTAAATCCGAATTTTTTTACCACATGGGCTATCATCCGAATACCTTATGACTACGGGGACCATTTATCCGATTAGGCCATTATGAAATTGAAAACCATGGGATGGTTTAGTGAGGTAACCCAAGGTGGTTTTGATTATAAAATTGAAAACCATGAGATGCTTTTAAAAGTGGACGGGTGATGTTAAAGTTAAAGAGGTGAGGGGATGGTTGATGGTTTTAACTTTTTAATAATGAAAACCACCCACATTTTTATATTTTTAAAAGTTTGGTATATATATTATATATATATATATATATGTTATATAAATTATAAATTATTTAGATAATATTAGGTTTTTTTTCATAGGCAAGCATATTATATATATACATAAAACATTCACATATGTATATTATTCTATAAGAAATAACATATTAGTTAAGAATTATTTACATTTGATATAGTAAATTTAATTAATTCATAAAATATATAAGAAATTTCTTATATCCATCCCATGTGTGTGTTATCCGAGAGAAGAAAAAAAAAATAAAATCCAAACCTGCTTTCAAAATATCAAGCCCATGTGTCAGTCTGTGTGTGTTATCCGAGAGAAGAAAAAAAAAATCCAAACCTGCTTTCAAAATATCCAGCCCACGTGTCAGTGATCGTGAGGTTTGGTCTTCAATATATTCACCCTACTTTTTGAAGCTACTGGAAATGTCTTCAAATGATTTTGCTTATGGACAACATCAACCAATCTCGGATCCATATGGGTGGCATGTTAACAATTACATGCAAAACTATTTTGGGGATTTATCATTTGATGACTACTCTTCACAATACACCTACTCTACACATAGAGATGATGAAGATAGTCAAAATTTTGAACCTCATAGGAACTTTATGTGGTACTAAGTCACTCATGTATTTTATCATGCAATGTATAAAGTGTAAAATATTGTACTAATTCATTATATATAAATGATTATGGTGTGTTTAAACTTCTTTCATTAATTACTACATATTTTCTACACTCACAATGTTTGCCAGCTCGTTATATAATCAACTTAAATCAGTTAAATCCATCATGCAATGCATTTCCTTCCAATTTTTTGTGATAAACTAATAGATAATTGACTAAATAAACATTATGCAAAGTTGCAATAAAAATTTCCAAGTTTTTCTTACAATTTCTGTGGTTTTTATTCAATTTTTATCGATATCGATAATATCCCGATATTTCCATCGAAATTTCCATGTTTTTGGACTATCGATATTTCCGATATCATCGATATTTAATACCTTGCCTGTAAGTGAGGTTTCAATAAAAAACAGTGAAATTGAGATCTATGAAATTGCATTACTGCTCAATATTTTTTTGTGTGATAAAAGACTAAATAATCTTTTCGCCATCTTTTAATTGACAAAGATAGTTTTATTAATAAGTAGTTTAGATATAGCTTAATGACTTTTCCCTCTAATATGGTTTATTTTTTCCGGACATTAAAACCCTAATAAAGTCCAACTTTTCCTACAACTCAATTTACTTAGCTCTTGCACCTTATAGTGTTTGATGAACTCACATAAGGAACTCTTAGTGCCTGCAATTTTCTATACTAAATTGAACAAGTCTACTGGCAGGAACTTCTGTGGCTGCCAAAATTTCCACAAGCACAAACGAAAGATCACCATCACACATGGCTCCATTTCTAACTTTTAGCCATATTGTATTTTTTATACGACATTTTCTGGTGGCTGTACCACGCACTAATTAACAAATTAACTCTTATTAGCTGCCAGCTGGTGTGAGATAGTAGGCCGGATACGTTTCGTATGGATGTGGCCAAATAATATTTGTGTATTGAAGACCGGCACTATATTATTCCCTTGTTTTTTAACTTAATCTGTATATATAAAGGGAGTAGGAAAAAAAGGCGAAGCTTTCATAATACTCAAATTGTCATTCTTAAGTGTTCTTTATCACAGTGGTGGAAATATATTGATCCCTTGCATGATGGTATGGGTCGAATCCCGCCGGCGACTAATCTAACATCTAATTTAACAAATATATCGTTTGACTAAAAAAAAAAATTTGTCCCTCTTTCATTAGAATTTCATCTATATATAGAGGGAGAAGACACAATAGGTGAAGCTTTCATAGTACTCAAATTTTCCCTCTCCCGTTAAAATTTCAACAAAAAAAAGATTATAAATACGTGTGACAAGAGACTAGTATATACTAATTCAGAGATGGCCGCACCTACTTCCACCCCATCAATGTGTTGTCCTCGTGACCTATATATGAATATGATTAGCACGACCAAATATCGTACAAGGAAAATCAAACATTTGACATTGAGATCATAGTTAGTGAGCAACCACTAGCTATGCTGCACCTGTTTCTAATTGTCCTTCCCTTCCTGATTTTCACAATCTTCATCATCAAACGGCTTTGGAGCACTACAATTTCACTGAAACACTTGCCTCCTTCACCGCCAAGGCTCCCAATACTCGGAAACCTCCACCAACTAGGCACGTACCCTCACCGATCCCTACAACGATTAGCTCAGCGCTATGGCGAGCTCATGGTGCTTCATCTTGGCGCGAGACCAGTTCTCATCATTTCATCAGCCGACGCTGCTCGTGAGATCATGAAAACGAATGATAGCATTTTTGCCAACAGACCAAGATCAACAATTGCCGATAGACTTCTCTACGGATCTAAAAGTGTGTCCTCAGCTCCTTACGGTGAGTATTGGAGGCATATGAGAAGCATCTGCGTGCTGCAGCTTTTAACGAGCAAAAGGGTTCAGTCTTTTCGAGCAGTACGAGAAGAAGAACTAGCCTTGCTGACTAAGAATGTGAAACAGTCTTCTATGTCGTCTTTGCCTGTGAATTTAAGTGAATTGTTTATTTCACTTACTAATGATGTGATCTGTCGGGTGGCTTTCGGGAAAAAGTATAGTGGAGGTGAAGCTGCAAGGAAGTTCAAGAAATTGCTTGAGGAGTTTATGATCTTGTTGGGTGGTTTTTATGTAGGGGATTTTATTCCACTACTCGGTTGGGTTAGTCGCGTTAACGGGTTAGACACAAGAGTGGAGAAGGTTGCTAGAGAGTTTGATGAGTTTCTGGAGTCTGTAGTTGAAGAGCATATGTGTAGTCTTGACACAAAAGGCGAAAACTGCGGTAATAATTCGAGTGTTGAAGGTGAAGATAAGAAGGATCTTGTGGATGTCCTGCTCGAAATTCAAAAGCAAAACACGGCTGGCTTTTCAATTGATAGAGATAGCATCAAAGGTATCATCTTGGTAAGTCTCTTCTCTGTCTCCACAACTCCTAGCTAGCAAGAAACCTCCGTAACTTCAATTGTTTAAGAACTTGTATCATAACTTTATATTCTTTTTTTTTTCTCCTTCTGCACTTATCACCTTGTTTTTGTTCCTTGATTCTCCGTTTTTGTAATAAAAAGGCTAGAAAAAAGGGGAGAGTGCACGGGAACAAAAGGGCAGTGCGAAAATCTCTTCCTGTGTAAAATCTACCTCTCCATCCATTGCAAATTGATTTTGGGTGAAATAAGATATTTTTCTTGTTTCTTGCAGGATATTTTTGGTGGCGGAACTGATACTAGCTACACGGTTCTAGAGTGGGCAATGACCGAACTCTTAAGGCATCCAAGAGTGTTGGAGAAACTGCAAAATGAGCTGATGGGAATTGCTACTGGAAAACCAGACATAACAGAAAGTGATTTAGATAAAACTCCCTACTTAAAAGCCGTGATCAAAGAGACACTTCGGTTGTATCCTCCAATACCGTTACTAGTTCCTCGTGAATCAACTCAAGCAACTAAAATAAGGGGCTACGACGTAGCAGCAAGAACAATGGTCATAATCAATGCTTGGACAATTGGAAGAGACCCCTCATTGTGGGATGAACCAGAGGAGTTTAAACCAGATAGGTTTCTGAATTCTTCAGTGGATTTCAAGGGGAATGACTTCGAATTAATCCCATTTGGAGCTGGAAGAAGGGGTTGCCCTGGATCCTTGTTTGCCATGGCCACCAATGAGATTGTGTTAGCAAATCTTGTGCACAAATTTGACTGGACATTGCCCGACGGAGCAAGAGCAAAAGATTTAAGCATGGAAGAATGCACCGGTCTTGTCATCCATCGGAAAGCTCCCCTTGTAGTTATGGCAATACCAAGGTTCTAGTAGAACTTTTGTTTTCCCATTTTGTGTTCTTGTGAAGATTTACATGGTTAAAGTGTTACATTCACCTCTAATTTAAATTGTATTTTCATTAAGTTTGAGTTTATCTTATTTTTAAAATTGTTTTTGGATCTTAATAAGTGTGCCAACGGGCCCATTTTTGTTTGTTGTCCCCGGGTCCAAGCCTTCCATCTCTCTCTCTCGGTCTCACTCCTTCTTTCCTTCTCTCTTTCCTTCTTTCTTCTCTCAACTCTCTCTGCACTCTCTCCTTCCTTCTGCCCGAGCTCCACACACACACACACAAACACATGTACACCCAGACAGCAACCACTCACCACCATCTGGACCTTGTTACCACGAAGCTCAGACTGATGACCCTGAAGCTTGATAGTGGCGGAGCCACTGTTCATTGTCTCCCCGACTTGCTTCGTTGTAGGTGAGCTTCCAAGACCTTTTAAACTTTCCCCTTTGGTTCCCATGTTTCGTTTCTAACCACATTGATGTGTTCTGGACGTCAAATTACGAAGAAACACCTAGGAGGAGCTAAACCCAGATTCCAGCGATAAACCTTGGTCGTTTGGCCATATTTCAGGCCATTTTCCGGTCAACTCCGGCTACCACTCGGTCCCCACTTGGTATGATTCTTTTCTCCACATTTCTAGCTACATTATGGCTTTTGAATAACTCAATTTGGTTAAGTAACGAAGAAGTTACGAAGCTTTGAAAATTCCCAAAACCTTCAGCCAAAACCCAGTTTTCCGACGAGCACCGCCCCTTTCGAGGCATTTTCAGCCAAACTACGGCGATTTGGCCGGATTGCAGGGTATCAATCTCTTCATCTCGTCGAGTACTACAACTTTCATATTTGGATCACTTGATTTGAATAAGTAACGAAGAAGTTATGAGCCGTGAAAAATCAACCACCAAACCGGCCGAAGGGTGGCCTGAAAACCACCCTCAACCCAGGCCTTTGGGCAGGGTTACCCAACCATTTTACCCAGGCCCTTTGGGCCGTGCCAAACCCAGGGCTTAGGCCCGTTTAAACCCAAACCCCTTTATTTTAAATTGTTTTTATTGTATTTATTTAAACCAAGGCCTTTGAACCTTATGTAAAACCCTAAACCCCTAAGTCCAATCCTAGATCCTAAAGCTCTAAAGCCTAAACCCTTTAACCTTATCAACCCTAAACTCTAGCCGGCTCAAATCATTTTGTGGAATATTTCGTTAGGGAATATTCCATCAAAGAATATTCCGTCAGGGAATATTCTATTGGCTTTTACGAAATTTAACAGGGATACTTCTTAGGGTAATTCGACTTTCTGAATTCGTTTCCGACATCTGTTTTCCCAAATTCAATTGCTATTATATAGTTTATTAATTGGACCATTTATGTGCTTAGGGGCAATATTTGTGACGTTTTCGTGGTTGCTAGTTTGCGTGGCTCTTTGGCGGCTAAGTATCTATGAGTGGATCCCTTCTAAAAATACATGTTTTGATAGTAGAAATGCATATATGAAAAGTATGATTTGATGATTATGTTCTATGAAACGTTTTGAGATAACATGCTTATTGAGGCTAATTTGAATTATTACTATTTTTCCTATAACCCGTGTTCTTATAGAATATCTGATGGATGACAATATGATATTTAGAACATGTTTCAAACACTTCTTTATAGTATAGATGATGAATGATTTTATACTATGAAGTTGTTTTTCAATATATATATGTTCAATGGTTTTGTATTTACCTAGTGGTCATTTCCGTTATGGGATGTAGGGATAGATTCCAGTCCGTCTCGGGCGACGATTTGGTGTTGGCATAGGGCCTGGAGTGTGTTTCCTCTGGCTATTTAGTACAGGGACGGGGAGCCGGCATGAGGCCTGAAGTGTATTTTCCTCTGATTGTCTGCTCAGAGACGGGGAGCTGGCATAGGGCCTGGGGGTTATCGGACAATTCACTAGTGATTATTATATATAAAAGTTATGATTTGAGATATTGCACGACATGCTAGGTTTCGGAAAACCTATGTTTATCATGATATATATGTGTTTTCATAAAACCTGGGGGTTAGTATGTTGATAACTGTTTTATTATATCTATATCAACTTGGTCCACTCATGTTTGTTTTGCGCCCCCTTCAGGATTTAGAATCGAGGCACACGATCCCGGCATCCAGGCACTTTCGCATCGGTATCTTCGAGTCCTCTCAATGTAGGATCCATCCTTTGTTTCATTCAATTTTATATTATTTCTTTCGATGTTCTAATTAGTCGTATGCTCTGAACACGTTCCTTAAATGCATATTCCTTATTCTTTTACAATTATAAGTTTTATCTATTCCTTGTTTTCCGCATTTGCACTCAATAAATGACTTTCGTCACCTCGGGTGTCGGCCAGCATGTGCCTATCTCGGAATTTTGGGGAATATCGGGATCGGGGCGTGTCATAAGGTATCTAAAATGTTTATATTCATTTGTAGGAATAATCTTGTACGAAATTAGATTGTCATCCTCATATAAAACGTTTGTCAATTGAACTTGGTGTTAGATTGGATTTTGTTTTTTCTTGCAACTCCATTGAGCTACTAAACTTCAAAATCAAAAGTTAAACGCTCTACTTTCCAAAAGCACTTCAAAAGTTTCTTGTCTTGCTCCACAAGAAAATTTAACTAGTCAACCATACACATCCTCTGAAGAAAAAAGAGAACAAGTTAAAAATCGTGTGTCCGTTTCACTGAGCAGAGAAGAAACCGAAGGCACCTCCGAGTATGGTGGGACTGGTAACTGGTAAGACCTTTATGCTGTCTAGAATCTCTTTAAGTTCACATGCTGAAAGATAAACAAAAGAAACGAACTCATTGAGTCCACAAACTCTTATGTGGCTCCAAATTGCTCTAATAATGTACTTGGTTGGTCCAGCTCAAAATATATCCAGTGATCCAAACCATTGAGTTTTTAGGTAATCATTCGTCAATCATTTTTTTACAATTTCACTCAAATCAGAAATTGTTTAGAGTACATTTTTTTAGTACATCGATATTTTTACACTAAGGGGAGGTGAGTTCGGCTAAGCCACACAATGGGCAGCTTAATTTGGTATCGAATTCGCCATCTATGAGATTCAAACCTAAAACCTCTCACTTCCAAGTGAAGAGAAATACCACCAGACTGTAGTATTAAGTGGCTAGTTATTGTTGTGAATATTTCATTGTTTATTAACTACATTTTGTTTGTCTATTTGTCATCACTCATAAATCATGAAAAAATATTTAAAGTAGATCTAGATGAGTGATTAGTATAGAAACTCAGAGTTCTTGGAGAGAGTTTTCTTAGAGGTGAAGAAAAACTGTATTTTCTCATTAATTGATAAATGAATAATACAATCACATATATATAGCTTTTGGCTATTGACTGTCAACTAATTAAGACTAATTACAAATGTAACAAACTTATAACAACTAATAACAAACTATAGTCATGATGTGGCATCTTCATCTTTAATTAGTGCTGTATTTAAGTTACTCGCGAGGTAGTACATCAGCACTCTTTGATATATATATGTAAGCTTGTGAAATCATGGATGATCTATACCTTATATAAACACACAAGCGCAGCAAACACACCCACACTATTGGCCATAAATTTTCTTCTCCCAAATAGGACTATGATGCTGGAGAATGAAACCTCCTCCTTTTTGCAACCTTTGGCCTTCACACTGCTGGCCATTTTCATCATCCTCATATACAGATGGTACTCCACCACAACCACCAACAAAACCTCATCACCACCTTCTCCACCGAAGCTCCCTATCATCGGAAACTTTCACCAAATAGGCTTGGACCCTCATCGCTCACTGCACAAATTATCTCAACGCCATGGCCCTCTCATGCTTCTTCACTTCGGACGTGTCCCGGTCCTTGTTGTCTCTTCGGCTCAGGCAGCTCAGGAGATCATGAAAACCCATGACCACACATTTTCTGATCGACCCAAGTCCACCAACTTTGAGAAGCTTCTCTACAACTGTAAAGACGTTGCATCTGCTCCTTATGGTGAGCATTGGAGGAAGGTGAAAAGTATATGTGTCATACATCTTTTGAGCAACAAGAGGGTTCGCTCTTTTCGCTTTGTGAGAGAAGAGGAAACCAAATCCATGATCAGCGACATAATGAAATCATCACCATCAGTTTTGAATTTAAGCGAAATGTTTCTGAGGCTTACCAATGATGTTGTATCTAGAGTGGCTCTGGGGAGGAAGTACAGTGGTGAAGGTGGGATGAAGTTTGAGGGACTTTTGCGGGAGTTCTTTGAGTTATTGGGAACTACTAAAATTGGTGACTATATCCCATGGCTTTCTTGGTTGAGCCGTGTCAACGGTTTGGAAGCCAAGTTCGACAAGGTGGCTAAGAAGTTTGATGACTTTTTAGATAAAGTGGTCCAAGAGCACATGGATCAGAGTCCAAAGACTGGAGATGATGACCAAGCGGATTTTGTCGATGTTTTGCTTGCAATTCAGAAAGAAAACTTGCCTGGTTTTTCTATTGATACAGTTACTATAAAAGCTCTCATCTTGGTAATCATCTCTCTCTCTCCCTGTGTTTCTGTTAGAAAGTTATTTAACAGACTGATTAGTACATATATAAGATATTAAATAGCTGAAAAACAAAAACTTCAGTGATATATAAACCACATTATTATTGTATACTGTTATAAGTTAAGAAGTAAATCAAATCGGATAAGTTGTCGTGCTTCCCGCTGCTGTTTTTCCGTTAAAACTGACTACAATTCTCCCTCCATGTAATAATATGTATTTGTAATACTTTAATTAATAATATAAACTGTTGCAGGATATGTTTACTGCTGGCACTCATACAGCATCTACAGTCCTAGAGTGGGCAATGACTGAGCTTTTAAGGCATCCTAGGGTCATGAAAAAGTTGCAGAATGAAGTACGTGAAATGGTCCGAAAGGAAGAACTCATAACAGAGGATGATTCGATTGAAATGCACTACTTGAAGGCGGTGATAAAGGAGACTCTTCGCTTACATCCACCAGTTCCACTACTATTGCCCAGGATTGCGACCCAAGATGCGGAAATAGGTGGTTACAAAATTAAAACCAAGACACACGTTATGATCAATGCATGGCAAATTGGAAGAGATCCCAAACTATATGAAAAACCAGAGGAGTTCGAGCCAGAAAGGTTCTTGAATAGTGAGGTAGATTATAAAGGGAATGACTTTCAGTTAATTCCATTTGGTGCCGGTAGGAGGGTCTGTCCTGGAATTCAGTTTGGCATGACTCTTAATGAGATTGCCTTGGCAAATATCGTGCACAAGTTCGACTGGGAGTTGCCTGGTGGAGCAAGTGGGGAGGATTTAGATACGACTGAATCTACGGGTATAACAGTCCACAGAAAATATCCTCTCAGAGCTGTTGCTATTCCATATTTATGTTGAAAGATAGAGGGCATATTGTCTCGTACGTGTATTGGCCTTTGTATTTTATGTCCAAGGCTCTAAGCCTTCTATTGTCACCTATTATTTCGCTTTGACCGTCGCTATTGCCAATATATCATAAGTGTGAATTTTATGTGTTGGGTTGGGAATATTTTTTAATTCATGGTATTTCCTGAAAGGAATGAGGATCTTTTCCGGATTCTCTTTGTGAGGATTTCATAATCTTCTAATCATATCCGTTTATTGTATATCGTGCGAATAAAAATCATTGTAAATCTTTTTATTTAAAATTAAATATAAACCGTACATAACGAAAATTGATCGTACGATATACGATAAATGAATGTGATTAAAATATCTCTGAAATCTTCACAAAGAGAATCCGGAAAAAATCCTCGTTCTCCCGGAAGGGTTTGTTATCGTTATCCGTGGGCCATGGCGGCGCGTTTTGTTGAAAAGTCTATGAGAGAGAAGTTCAGAAGATTGTGGAAGATAGTCTAGGTAGGGACCGTAGGGTTAGGTTTTGAGTGCTTTCAATGGAAGTCTTATATAAGTTCAGAACATTGTTGGGTACCTGCAGTAACAGTAATGGTATACCTTTCCTAAATTTTTAGACACAGTCAAACTCAAAATCTAAACCACCGAAAGCTGTTGGTTGATTAGTATTTCTCTTTTCACATTGAAAGAAGTTTTAAATTGGAATCTCACGGCTATAGGCAGCTTATATCATAAATGTACCTGTGTATTTTGTTTCAATATAGGCTATAGCCTATATCCGATATTGAAACAATTGATCAAATCGTTTGTCTATCCCATAGGTGTACCATTGGAAAAAGACAGCTGCAGTATCACAGGGATTAATCTATAGTAAAGAAGGTACTTAATTTAGACAAGGATAGGATATGATTTCATTTAGTGCATGATAAATACTAAGGAGACTCTTGTAAAATGGAACTCTCTAATACTTCACAGTTTAATATTAATTTATATACCAACATTATAAATCGTTGTTCTAAAAACATAAGGCGACAAAGAGTTCTATTTTTGAAAGTCTTTTTAGCATTTATGCAAAATTAAGTCAAAGAAAGATAAGTTAAAAAACGAAAAATAAAAGAAATTTTTAAATCACATTATTGCTAGATCAGTGTGAGACTTAGTCAAACCCCCATTTCCTTAGTGTAGATAATATTGTTTGCTAAAAAAAAATGTACTTAAACGGTATTTGTACGTTTAAAATCAAAGATACCACATATATACAAACATACTAATATTATAGTTTTTTTTTTATTTTTTTATTTTTAAAATTAAACGTACCTGAAGCTCACTGGTATATTTGAAACCAAATGCATGTCTTCATATACAAAAAAGGTACGCATCTAGTCAGTTATAAATATACAAATCGAAGGTCATTTATAAAAAAAACTCATATAACCAACATACAGTTACACGTACTCATAGTTTGTACAAAAAGAAGGGGTGTGCTATCCACACATCTTATTTTACTTCTCACACACCCCTTAATAATTTTTGTTCGTTGATCTTCTTTAATCATCCGATCTGACAGCCGAAAATTAAAAAAGTGTGTGAGAAGTAAAATGAGGTGTGTGTATATCACACCCCAAAAAGAAAGATACTTATACTATTAATGGCCCTTTTTTGCTTAAAAAAAATAGAGGAGAAATTCAATAGCTACATCGATCATAACCAACAAAAGTGCGAATAAAATAGATGTTAGCATCATGTCCTGTTAAGATTGCCAAAATGCAGAATCGTAGAGAGAGAAAGATGGTGAGAGAGAGATTTGTAGCTGAAAACACTATCTTGATTAATGCATAATGGTTGACAATGATCACCTATATAGGTGCTGCCACTACAAGACTTGCAGAGCAAGTAACACTAACCTCCTCCTTATACCAACTAACTATATCCCTAACCAATCCTATCAAGCCAACCAGATTCCAACCAACTAACTACATATATAACAACCTATTTAATCTCTTGACAAGTGGCATTGTTCTGACCATTGATAACCTCCTCACTTGGATCACAGTTTTGCATTTCTTCCTTCTTACATCCCCCCTCAATCGGATGCTCGAGGGAACTGAGCATGAGATTGCTACAATGCTGCTGAAACAATGGTGCATATAAGCCATTTGTAAGAATATTTGCTAATTGTTTTGTAAGAATATCTGCTAATTGGTCTACAGAAGAGACATGTTGAACTTGAAGATCTCCTCAAGTGACTATCTCACGTACAAAGTGATAGTCTATTTCAATATGTTTGGGCTTAGCATGGAACATATGATTTGTGGAGAGTGCAATGGCTGACACATTATCATAGTATATCATTGGAGATGAATATAAGGGAATATGCATATCACAGAAGAATTGTCGAATCCAGGCAAGTTTAGCAGCAATGATTGCTAGAGCCTGATACTCAGCTTATGTGGAAGATCGAGAAAATGTATGTTGTTTCTTAGATGCCCGAGAAATAGGAATTGAACCAAGAAACACAACAAATCCTGAAGTTGATCTCCTATCATTTGGATCACCAGTCCAATATGCATCACTATAAGACTGCAGATGCATTGGTCCTGGTTTAAAATTAATACCATAGGTACATGTACCTTTGAGATATCGAATGAAATTATTCTTTTAACTGCAATCATATGAGAAACCATGGGATTGTGCATGAACTGACAAGCTCGATTGAATAAAAAGGCTATGTCAGGTCTTGTAAAAGTGAGGTACTGAAGTGCCCCAACAACACTCCTATATTGTTCAGGACTGTGATAAAGCTTCCCATCATCTTTGAGTAGCCTGTGATAAGGTAAACATGGTGTAGCACACGGTTTAGAATCCTCCAAATCCACTTTATCAATCAACTCATTAATATATTTTGTGTGTGACACAAACAATCCTTATAAGGTATAACTAATCTGTAATCCTAGAAAATAGTGTATTATACCCAAATCTTTCATTTCAAATTCTGCAGTGAGAGCTATGATAACTTAGTTGATCAATTGAGAACTGTTGCCCGTGAGGATTACATCATCAACATACAAAAGCAATAGAATAGTCCCCTTTGAAGATTATTGCACAAATAAAGAAGGATTAGCTTGTGAAGCTTGAAACCCCTAACTTGGTAAGAAACTTGTGGATCTCTCATTCCAGGCTTTGGGAGCTTGTTTTAGACCATATAATGATTTATGAAGCTTGCAAACATAGTTTGATAGGTGTGTTGCACTCTTAAACCCCGAAGGCTGTGCCATATAGACCTCTTCTTGAAGTTTGTCATGGAAAAAGACATTTTTGACATCTAACTGCCTAAGAGACCACTTGAATTGAGCAACTAATGCAAAGACCAACCTTATTATTGTAGGTTTTACCATAGGACTGAATGTTTCCAAGTAACCGACACCCTCTTCTTGGCTATAACCTTATGCCACAAGTCTTGCCTTATACCTTGCCATAGACCCATCTGCATTTTTCTTTATTTTATATATCCATTTGCATCCAACCAAGTTCTTATCAGGTGGTAATGTGACTAAAGACCATGTATTCTGAGAATGAAGAGCAACTATTTCATCTTTCATTACAACCTGCCATTCTGAAACTTTTGATGCATCTTTGACTGTTTTGGGTTTTGAAGTGATAGTTGCAGAGAAAGATTTCTTATTGAACACCCCATTCTTAAATCTTGTTTGCATGGGATGTACATTCATTGGGATTGGCAAAACAACACTCAGTTGCTCATGTTGGAAATCAAGATCCATAGAGATAGGGTGCTGTGTACTAGAGCTGGTTAGGGACAACTGATGTAGTAGAGATTCACAGGGTATATGTGATGTAGTATTATCATATGCAGGTAAAGAAACAAACTTTGGAGCACTAGATGCAACAATTTCCAAGGAATCTGAGGCTCTGGATGCATACAAGGATTCTGAGGTACTAGATGAATTTATAGTCAAAGAGTCTGTGGTCTGAGATGATAGTGAATGAGATGAGGGTGATAATGCTTAATTTGTTAATGTGATGATTGGAGCTAAATGAGGTAATGCAATTGAGATGATGCAGAAGACAATTTTGAAGTTTGAAACAAGCTGGAATTTAAGTATGGAAAACTATTTTCATCAAATAAAACATGTCTAGAAACATGAAGTTTACAAGTAGCAACATCTAGACATATAAAACCCTTATATTGACCTACATATCCCAGAAACACACAAGTTGTTGTTTTAGGTTGAAGTTTAGAGGTGTTGTAAGGTTTTAATAGAGGAAAACATGCACAACCAAAGACTCTTAGATGTTTAATCTCAAGAATTGTATTAATATAACATTTGAAATGGTGATTGCATATGTAAAGACATTGCATCCTATTTATCAAAGAAGATGCGGTAGCACATACATGAAACCATAATTGGTTAGGCAATTTTGCAGTTTGGAGAAGTGTAATTGTTGTTTCTACAAGGTGCTTGTGCTTTCTCTCTGCCAAGCCATTCTGTTCAGGTGTATATGGACATGATTTATAATGTAAAATATCATGGTTTGACAAAAATTGTTGAAACTTAGTGCTTGTATATTCACCAACACCATCACTTTGAAATACCTTAACTGTACCAGAAAACTATATACACAAGTAGGCATGAAATTGAACAAATGTTGCAAATACTTCTAATTTATTTCTTAATGGAAAAATCCATGTATATTGAGTACAATCATCTATGAAGGTTACATAATACCTAAATCCTTCATACGATAGTAAAGGGGTAGGTCCTTACACATCACTATGTATTTTCTCTAAAGGTTGTACAAATTTTGTTATAGGAAAATTAAAGGGTAACTAGGTGAACTTTCTCTCTAAATATGGTTACATATTGATGAACATGTATCCAGTGATGTAGGAACTTAATATTGATGTAGAATTGTAGAAGTAATTGCATTTGATGTGTATCCTAGCCTTTTGTGCCATATGCTTAAGTTAATTGGTTTTGCAAGAAAACATGAATGGGATGCAAGTAATGTAGGTGATAGCTTCTGTGAAATGTTGAATGGTATAGGATAGTAACCAGTTCTACACAACCCATTGAGCAGTATTTTCCATGTGGATTTATCCTGAACCCAAAAAGAAAC